CCCCCCCACCCCCTCACCAAAACCAAAATTTTATTGCAGATTCGGGGTCCTCTCGCCAAGCGCAGAACGACGCCGGTTTCCAAAAAAATAAAAAAAGAAATTCTGGGCGTTTTTTTGTCCCGCCCGGTTTACCCGGGCGGGGCCCAGCCTGGCAGGGCAGGCCCGGCCGGGCTGCGTCCTCACTCAGAATTTCTCTTATTTTGTTTCTGTGAAAATATATTTACCAGCCAAGGTTGAATCCATATGCGATTGGGTGCCAGTCACTGTGTTCAGTTCCTGCACCTTCTGATAATCGTCCTACTCAGAGTTGGTGACCTGATCAATGGTAATTGACAGATCAGTCAAGAGTGCCCTTGGATGTGGCCCTGTTGGTCAGTCTTGCCGGTCGTTGTCATTCCTGCGAGTCAGTCAGAAAACGGTCCATGTGAGTCCGTTGATCTGTCTGAGTCAAGAATCAGCACTACATTGCGTACTTGGGTAGAATAGTGAGTGGTCTGCAGCCTTTGACCACTGCTGTGTTCATTTATTTGATCGAAACGAACCTTTATGGAATGGGGGATGCTTCAATCAGTTAGGGAAAGGGCCCCAAAAGTCTGATTAAACAGCAAGTTGAGGAGGCAAGGAAGGCTGCAGACAGTTTAGAGGTGAAGCGATTGAAAAACGAGGCGGCAGAAGAAGCCAGGAATGACAATGATGGGGTCGCACAATACCTACACGAAGCCGAAACTGATGATGGGGTGAATAAAACCAATCAGCTGTTGGTTAGACTACAGTGTGATGACCTGACCTGTTACGGACTCAGCCAGGGCTCGATCCCTGGTCCACGGGGTACCACCCGCCAGCATGCTATTTTATTTGATTTCTGACTGTTGGCGCCCTCTGCAGTTGGCGCCCGTTTTCAAATCCCTCCTTTGGCACTTTCGGATTTCAACACTTGGCGCCATCCGACACTCTGGCACCCAGACTCAGACTTTCGATTCTCAGTTCAGTCCTGAGGCAATGGCACTTCTGCCCTCCGGACTGAACTTGAGTCCGGTACTTAAGACCGGACTCAAGCCCAGTACGGGCATTCAGTTTTCAGCCTCAGTGCTTGTGCTTCAGTGTGACTTGCTTCGACATTGTGTTAGGGAATCGAAGACTGCGACTTTGCGTCTTCGCCACTTCGTGTATGCGTCCGTCGAGTCTTGTCGAGTCTGCGTCGAGTTGAGTGAGTGTGTGTGTGTGTGCTCTCACCCTCTCCTCCCTCTCCCTCAGCCTCGCTACTCTGCCTCTGCCTCTGCCTCGTCACACTGGTATCGGGGCTGCTTGAACCCGCCCGACCCACCCTGCTTCGTCGTCGTCGCCTGGCCATCATCAGCATCATCGTTGTGATCGTCGTCATCGTGCCATGTCACCGTCGTGACCGTCGCCGTCGTTGCCACGTCATTGCCATCGTCGTCATCTTCGTTGCCGTCGCCACCATTGCCACTTCAGCACCTCGCTGCCTCCCTCGTCGCTGCTGCAACGCCACCGATCCCGAAGCCGACGCGCAGGTAAGTGACCAATAAACTTTCTTTTTTTTCTCCTCCCCCTCATTTCTTCTTCTTCTTCCGCTCGTCGTCGTCCTCATCACTTCCTTTCCTCCTTCTTCCTCCTTTCCTCCCTCGATTCCTGTTCTTTCTCGTCCTCTTCAACCCTTCTTCTCCCCCGTTCCTCTTCTCCTCCTCGTCGTCGTCATCCCACCTTCTTCTTCGTCTTCTTCTTCCTCGTAGTCACCTCCCCCTTCTTCATCTTTGTCCCCATTATCGTTGACCACCCCCCGCCATTCCCCCTTCCTCCTATGCGCCATCTCCACCTCTCT